AAAGCAATGTCTAAAACTCTTGAGATGGTAGGGTTTGTTATATGAAATGAAAAAAACCACAGCTTTCTCAAAAAAAAAGGCAGTTTGCACTTTATTGACTTCTATAAATACAGTAGTCAAGTTTTAACTTTTATATGATTGCTCTGTAGGCCACATCATGGTCAGAGGTATCCATTGGCTCCTAAATTCTCATCTTTCCTCCTACAGATGTCAAACAGATCCAGTGGGAAATAGAGCGTGACAAGTGGCTTCACAACAGGGATGTGAAAAGCATAATCAAAAAGAAGAAACAGTTCAGGCACAGAGGGCTGAAAAACAAGTACAAAGGCAAGAAATCAAGACGATGAACGGGACGGGACGTCTTGATGTGGACATTTAAAAAATAATTATTCTTAAATATTTTTTTATTTAATCACACATCTTTCTTACTTCAGTTCTTGCTGCTTAACCATGTCATCTGGTCATTCTCCCTTATGCCACGAATTCCAGACCGCTCATTGGATTTGTAATAAACTGAAAAATAGGAAAATCCATGTCAGCTCTAAGTTGGACATACCTGACGAGCAGCCTCTTTGTGGCTGGTTTTATTCAGTGTATAACCCTCCAGCTCTGAGATCTCTATCCAACAGTCTGACACTCCAGCCATGCCTTAACAATAAAAACTTCTGCAGCTGTCTCCTGGGGAAGGTTTAAGCCATCCTAAGATCGGTTGTATATATTAAGATGCAACAGAAGCTTCAGCCATCCTTCTGAAGCCAACAGCTACAAACCCACCTTCCAGAATTGATGGAAACCTCCTCTGCATTGTGTATCTGAAATCTGACAAGAAAGATAGATCACAGTTACTTTCCCAGCATATATTAAGATGAATAATTAAATGCACAATTTTTCTAACTAGAATTGTTTTATCAAAATTTCTTTGGGCTCTTTAGTTACAACCACCATTAAATAATGTGATAAGAATTTGTTTTTTAAAAATAATTTCAGAGACTGTTCAGGTTACTCATATGTGTAGCCCCATCATCACAGTGATTTCTGAGCTTCCTCACAATTGTGATAACCAAGTCCTACGATTCACAGGAAGCTGCATGCTTCTCATAGACTGACATGCAGATAAAGCCAGGGAAATTTTGTTTCTTTGTACAGATGTAGATATTCATTGAATCATTCTGTGGGCCACTCTGACAACCCAGTAGAAAATCACAACAGGTTTATGCTGTTAATTATTTACAGCATCTTGTAAAAGGATGTTAACCGTTCTAGTACTAACACAAAGAAACCAGTAAAAGCCTCAGACTCTGAGTTCACTGAGCTGTTAGATTAGCCCACTGTACCTTATGGAACTGCAGTTACATAGGATATGCAAATGCATATAAGAATTACAAAAGAGGAGAAAAAATCCCAAAGATGGACGCCAAACATCAAGTTACAATAGGCAGAAAACATCTGTTCTCCATATTTTTGTTACATGTATTTTCTAATAAAAATGCAAAGATGGCTGAAATTTAACGGCCTGACATCATCTGGATCCTGGAAAACAAATGCAAACTGATGTGAAGGTGAAGCTCAGCTTGTACTTGGCATGAAGACCACTGCTGAAATGGGTGGATTCTTGCCCTCCCACCAACGCAGCAGCTGCCTTTTGGCTTGCCCTGACCCTGCAGGTAGCAGGACAGGCTCTTCCCGAAGGGACACAGGTCTGTAACCAGTGCTGCACCCTCCAGAGCCCTGCAAGCAAAGGCTGCTGCTGTGCAGAGCAAACATCCCTGTAGTAACCAAACTGGTGCTTTGCTTATTCTTTCTGTGTTACCTGGGCACCGAGTCCTAAGTATAAGATACCTGAGGGGCTGAAGATAAATAATCCAGGAGACAGCGCTGGTGCCTCCTGCCAGCCGGGTCTGTCCTCAGCCTGGGAAACGTCAAATCGCAAAGGCTGCGAGACCCAGACACAGCCCGGACATCCCTTCAGGGCTCAACACCAGATACCTGAAATAGGACCGATGAATTCCTGCCTCATTTTGCGGCCAGCCTCTCTCCCTTTCAAATCCTTATCTGGCCCGGTGCTGCTACCATAAAGCCGGGCAGGATTCCTCCCTGTTCCTGGCGTGGTGGCGTGCTGCCCCCCGAAGGACTGCTCGCGGGCTTGGGGTTGTAAAACTGCAACAGCAGCTCGTTCTCCAGAGGTAAACCCTAGGGCCAGCGAGCCAGCCCTGTGCGCCCGCACTCACCCGAGCCCGACTCCTGTACACGGCAGGATTTCCTAACACAACCCGGGCGGTGCGCGGTGCTCCGCGGGCACCGCCGGCGGCCCCCGCGCGAAGGAGCCTCCTCTGCCCTCCCCGCGGCCCCCGCCCGCCCCGCCGCACCTTGGCTGCGGTCCATGGCGCGGTAGAGCAGGAGGGCGCCGAGCAGCCCCGCCGCCTCCAGCAGCAGCAGCCCCTTCAGGACGCGCCGCGCCATGGCCGCGGCTCGGCGCCTTCCGCCGCGCTGCGCAGGCGCCGCCGCTGCTGGGCCTCACGGGCCCGTCATGGCCGCGGCCCGGCCGCTCAGGTCACTCCGTGGCGAGCGGTGCGAAATATGAGCTGTGTAAAAATCCGGTCAGGAAAGGGCGGGCTTTGTTGTATATCCGGCCTAATCAACGAGAAAAGACATTAATCCTGAGGCAGGTAGCGGGTAACAGGCGAGCGCTAAGTGATGGCCAGGTGTTAGAAATACAAATGATTTATATCGGTAGAATTGCCTTGTTAAGGTCTTGGGCTCCATTTGCTTCAATAATCTCAGACCTAGGGAGAGGCTAATAATGCCAGGCGAGAAGAACGAACTACTGGTAGTGGACACAAAGACGTCCAGCAGAACCCCCAAGAAAAGGAAGAAACTGATAAAGCAAACTCAGCTGGACTGGGTAAAAGATAATTTATGGCCGGGGCAGATTGTGACCACCAACTGGTGGCCACGGACCCAAGAAAACTCCAACCCACAAGAAGAGAAAGACTGAGCATGTTGACTGATTAGCATGAGAAGCAAGGCAATCATTAACTAATAGAAGATGGAAGACTAATTAATAAGGGAACTATGTCACTTGCAGCCAAAAAACGCTAATTCTTTAGTTTGCTAAATTGTATAAACAGTAAAAACTTCTTGGCGTGCTTGATTTGTGGAATACCTTGGAGCACTCAGGTTTGTGCAACTCTGAAATAAATAATCAGTGTGTCTCCGAAGTGTCAGGAAAATTAGTCCATGATGCCAGAGGTTTATGTCCAAAAAGGAGACAGAGGAGTCCTGTAACTTTATTTCAATAAAGGCCATGGGCATTTCCCATGGGGGTCTCTCAGATTTTTGGGGGATACAGTCCCCTTTTTTATCCTAAGTTCCTGACTGCATCTCCCCCTTCCTTTTCCCCATTGGCTGAGGTACCTGGAAGGCACAGACTTCCCGACTTGCCTGCTCTATGCACTCCCCTTTCATTATATAAAAGAAAGAAAAGCCTATTCATAATTCTATTAATTCTTTGTTCTTTTTCTCTAGGATCAGGAATTTATCACAGCCTTGGCTGAGCAACAGTCTGTGTTGATAGTAACATTTTCTAGAACTAAGAGTTTCTTCTGTTGCTTCCCTATCTCTTAGTTCTTAGCCCTATCTACAAGCAGATTCACATGGTCTGTTTGTAAAGACACAGTCATCTTATTCCTTGCATTTTCATTGTCTTCTATTATTCATATTGCTATTAACTCATATTATGGGACTGACTTTATTGCCAAAATAAAAGCTCTTCAGATTTTCCTTAATAGGGACTTAATTTTCTTTGTAAGATGCTTTCCCCCTCATCTGCTAGTGTTTTGTAAGATTAGATATAATATTTTTGCTGCTCATTCTTACAGGGTGATTAATTTTCCAATTCTCTTTTCCCTGGTGGCTGAGTTTGCAAGTATTGCTTGTACTCAGTGGGATTTCTCAGTAAAGTAATTCCTGCTCTGGGGATTTTAAGTGAACAGGATCAACCCAAGCAGCAGAAGCTTAGGGTTGTTGGAGAAAACATGGATCCAAGAAAGGAATTAATTGTGTTATCATTGTAGCAGTTGCGGCTCGAACCAGAGAGGGTCCTGGGTCAGGGTCTCATTTAGCATATAGAATTTGCATTGTTTGGCAAGTTCTGATCTGGAAAGAAAATGTAGTGTATTTAGGGGCTTAAAAAGTACGCCTGTAATGTTTAGGGTGAATTTATAGCAGCTGTGAGACAGAGCAGTGAACTGAAAGAGGCCAAATAATTAAAAGGAGCAGGCACGAAATGTGAAATATGCATCTTTGTCTTAAGGAGCCCATAATCCCTTTGCATTTGGGTCCAGACTCCTGATGGACCCTACACAGAGGTTGTTTGTCATATCTTGACACTGGCTTTTACTTCTCACAGAGTTTGGAAGAGTTCAGGTGTGGAGACTTGATATGGGTTGTCTCTGACATTTACTGACTCAGTAAACCTCTCCTGCTCAGGCCAAAGGATGAGTAGATAAAGGAAAAAAAGGATCTCACACTGTTAATGTTGGACCATTTGTGGTAGCTCAGCAGGAGAATATTTTACTAAATACCACTGCCGATTGTTCAGTAGGAGAGGAGGTACACAGCTCCCCGTGGTTTGCTGAGGAATGCAGCATCTTGTTACCTGGTAGGCACTCTGGTGGAAAAGCCTGTCTGCAAGGTGAGAAAAGGCAAGACTAGAGGAAAAAGAAGGAAAAGGAAAGATTACCTGCCCCAGTCTGAAACTAGAAAGTTCTGGGCTCTCTCTTGCCCCTTTATGTGGCACTTGGACCCACCGAGACATAGTACCACCAGGCAAAAATTAAAATATCAGCTCCACAGCTCCATTGTAGGGGGCCCCGTGGGAAGCCTTCCAAGCACTTCCCAACGAGGACACAGGGAGGGTGCTGTGGGTCAAGGTGACCACCCTGTTCCCTTGCTGTGTCCTGCTGGCAGTTGGCAGAGCAGCAGTGGGGCAAATGGGAGCCATGGAAGTCTTGGGGAAGCTGGCTTGGAGGCGCAGCTCCAGGAACTGGTCACAGGCTCGTGCTGGAACAGGATGTAGCATGGGGGAGGCTTTACTGCAAGATGCCTTCCAAAGGGTCAGGGGTGGGGAGGAATGCGGGTGTCTGGGGGAACAACTCTTCTAGCACTTGTTCTGGCATGTGCTTTGTGGACACAGCTACAGGCACAGCTGAGGACATCCACTGGCAGTGACACTGAATAGGTGACTCTGCTTTGCCCTTGACCCAGGGCAGCAGAGAGAGGCAGACACTTCCCTCAGCAGAATGAGTGGAGTTTCTTGCTAATTCCTTCCTTCTACTTCCCAGAATCTTTCTATGTGTCTCTCTGTAAAAGACAGGAAAGCTCATTTTCTGCCACTGACTATGTTATGAATATATTAAAAATAGTAAGTGGATTGTTGAATCAGTTTTGCCTCCAGCAGTGATTCAGGAAGGTCACAGTTACAAAGCTGTTGAGGATCTCATTAATGGAAAACATTACTTTGTTTATAATCATTTGAGTGCTTTGGTGTTGTCATTTGATTATACTGAATTAACCTTTGTAATGAGAAGACTCTGACATCTTATTTAACCTTCAGACATTTTATTTTGTTCTCTGGTTTTCCTGGTGCAGGTATGAAATGGCTTGTCTAGATTTTAAATGATTTGATATTTACAACTGTTTAGAGTATATATGTAAGCAGAATTCATTTTATTAAATGTGGAGATCCAGGTAAATATCATTTTAGTGAAAAGAAATTGTCAAACCATTTAAAACTGTTTTTTCTCTCTCCTGCACAAAAGTTATTAAAATGAAGTCATGCAGCAAGTAAGGTTATTTCTCCTGAGATAGGAAAGAAGATAATTTTGGATGACTAATGCCTTCTGATTAGGGGCTCTTTCACACAGGAAGCTCTCACAAATCATTGCTGCACCTGTGTAAAAAACATGTTTTCTCTTCTGTTCCTGTTTTATTCTGAAGAGGATAAAATAGATTCAGTTTCTAAGAATTTTGATAACATCTGAATTATAATCACCTACCCAAGTCTGTTTTAAGGAAAAAGGTACAGTAGGTTTTTTTATTTTCCCAAGAACAAGCCTCATCTCTCTTACAGTATCAGTGTGCAAGACTAATTCTGGGGCCATATCCTTTTTTTGCACCCAGGCAGGTGGCACTGAGGGAAAAGAACTTGGAGACAGTGGGAGTCTCATGATACTTGGGCTCTCTTAGCACTCCCTACAATTCACAGTAGCCTCAGGGTATTTCAGTTGACATAAGCAGGGACATAGGTAGAGTTGTTGCAGTGCTCTGAAATTGCTGGAGTGTCACAATTTCCTTTTTTTGTGCAACTCTTTTCTGTGCACAGTCGTAATGGGAATTAATGTGGCAGCAGTCTCTGGGACATTGGCTGTCTCCTTGCAAAGACTCATTGAGGTTAAAACTTGAATGTTTCTGGTACTTGGTCACTGGGCAGTGGCAGATACTTAGCACTTCCAAGATGCACCACAGAGGAAATGAATAATTAGTTAAGGGATAGAGATTTTTTCCATGTATTATTGTTATTTTTTCCTGCATGGGGCAGGAAAAAAAATAAAATGTATCTGGCAAAAATATTTAATTTGTATAATGTGTTTTCAGAAGTGTTTGTGCTTCTCTGGGAATTACAGTCTCTTAAGGATTTCAAGAAAATTATTGAAAAATGGGAGATGATTGTAACAGCGGTGGTTTTCTAAAGGAGCTTTTCCTGACAGGAGGTTGGCAAATGGTTCCTTAATATTTCCCAAGTAGTCATGGGACAGTATTCAATGACAATATTACAGTCTTTCCAGTTACATCTCTCTACAGTTGCTTCATGACATAAACGAACCTTAGAAGTGGTGATAAGGTCTTTATTGTGATTGTGTTACAGTTTTGTTCTACATGCCTTTGTTAATAAAGTATTTTATAGCTCCCAGTATGTTATTGGTTGCAAAATGTTTGGTTATACTCTCACTTTGTTTGCCATGGCAGAGGAGTGATCTAAAATTGTGACCTCTTTCTCCCACTTCACATAGTACTGTTGTTTCAAAACCCTAAAGATACAGCTGTTTCATTTTTCCATTTCCATACAAATGGAATGCAAAGTGTCCCCAGTTACAGCTCCAGGGATGAGTTCTTCTCGGGATTAATGACAGATCTGTGTTTTTACAGATAATAATTGTAGCTGAAAAAGCAACAGAAAAAAACATTTTAAAAACAACTGAATGGGGCCAGTGGGAAAACAGCTGTGCCATAATTAATTTCCTGATGGCCATATGTCACAGTAAAGGAGGCAGCTGAATGCCAGAAGGGGAGAATGTCCAAAAGATGCTTTGCTTCTGGGTATTTGTTCTTACAGCAAAGGGTGAAGGAATTGCATGGCAGCTGGACAATGGCATTGGGTCAACATTCTGCTGCTTAGTGTTGGAGAAAATGCTGCAGGTTCAAAGTGTTATTGAAATAGCAGTTTGTTTCTTTAGTGTTTCTCCCTATTAGGCCAAATACCTCATTAGCAACCCATATTTTAGATGTCATGCTTTGTCTGTTAAAAGCTGTTTACAGGACAGTATAGTCACAGAAGGGAAGCACATAGTGAGATTAGTGTTTATGTGTGCAAACTGTTTACCTACTGAAGTTCAGGAAGCCTCTGTCATTCTCCTGTACAGACAGTACCACGGAAAGGACAGGCTGTTCTTTTTGTCTGTATTGATGTAACTAACAGGCAACAGAAGGCAATTTTTCAGTTGAACAGAAAAAAAGTACCCAGTTAGAAAGGAAGATCACACCAATGCTTTTTTTCTCTTCTTTACAGTCAGCTGGGAATCCTGTTTTGATCCTGCAGTAACCTGGAACAAACACATTGAAGAAAAGAATACTATGGTCAGAATATATGAAGACCTGAAAGGGGTGCAGCAGATGCTGTTTACTGACAGCCAAAACACATCTGAGCCCATTTCTTGAAATCTGCTGAAATTAAGAGGAAATGGTACAGGTTTCTGAAAAAGCAAAATCCAGTTGATTTTGGTGACAAGTTGAGTCTGGCTGTACAGAAGCAGAGCTCCAGAAAACAGAAATGCAACACAGAAAACAGTGAATGAAATTAGTAGATGATGGCAATGCGCATCCCAAGTGGGTGACTCCCTTTTTTAGAGGAAGCGTATTGCACATCTCGCTTTCACTGTACTGCTTTGAGAACCTGACTGCCAGTGTAAAGCAGATAGCTGCATTGTTTGGATTCTCACCAACAGCTGAGCAGATCCAGGCCACTGCAGGAAGACACACTTTCCAGCCATGTGAGTGTTAAAGCTCAGGAGACTGATGGTGCTGCTGGCTTGATTCTTTTCCATAAAGGTAAATCTGTTTGTATTTTGCCAGAGCAGTGAATTGTCTTGGGCAGACAGGAATTTGGATTAATAGATGGTTAATATTTATGTGTAATTTTCAAGGCTGGGTGTTATTTAAGAGACACTGATTGTACTTCAGGAATCTCGATTGATTTCACCCCGAGGGCCAGTGCCATACCTCCATTGTGGTATGCACTAAGCACCAACTAAAACAAAGCAGAGTTTTATCTTGGCTTCTGTGAGTATTGGGGATAGCCAGTAGACTGAGTGCCTCTACAGATCTTTCTTCTTGGGTTTACTAAATAACCCTCAGGATTACCTAGAGACCACAGTCAATTCACAGAATCCAGATGCTCCACAGATTGATCTGTGGTTTTTAGCCATGGATCAACTAGAACCTCAGAAAACCCCTAATTGTGAGCTCTCCAAAATCTAGATTAAAGGTAGACTGCAACCTTGAGTCTGGTTGCAACAAACAAAGCTATTGCTGTTAAAAGCCACACTTTTGAGCTTTCTGGGTTTGTGTCACAGCTGAGGGTCACCTTTTCCAGTCTTCTGCAGCTGTACAAGGTATATTCCAGAGCTATGAAGGCAGACCAGTAACTTCCCATGGCTGCTTTATGTTCGTGTTCTGTTGAAGACACCAAACATAAAGCAAATGTATTCTTCTGCCAGATATTTTTTCTTACAGGAAAAAAAAATCTGAAATATGATAAGAGAGAAAAGTTAGTCTTTTGTTTTAAATTATACTCTTTGGTTGTTAGAGTCAAGGGTAATAATTTCCTATTTTTTATATTCAAGGTGTTTTTGGACACTGGAAAAATGTTTTTGCTGAAGCTCAGAGCCAGAAATTGGCTGCCAAATTCACAGCAAGCTTAGAAGTAGCTAAGCTGGGAGAGGAGTTTAAATATGATGTGTGTTGTGAGGCCTGAACCTCCTTTACAGACAAAAAACTCAATAATGTTCAGGCTGTTTTTCATTCACTTTGATGAAATAAAACAGAAACCAGGACAACATCCAGTTTAAAAATTTTGAATATCCATGCACTTTGTGAACATGTTTTTGCTTGCTTAATTTACACAAGCAGTTCTTGCTTGAGCACTTAGTATCGTTGAAGGCTATTGGGCTCTCTTAAACAACCTGTAGAGTTTTGGCCTCCCATGTGTTTAACACTGATTTTTAGCTTTGATCTCTTGTTTCTGGTAGAATCCTGTGTGGAATACGTATGCAGTAATTAAGCCTGCTGAAATCATTGGAAATATATTCAGTAGGTTGGAACTGGTTTTCCAAGAGGTGTTTTAAAACAATCTGAAGTGTCATTTTGATTCTTAATTTCTAAGTTAACGAGATTCATATATAATTTTAATTTCTAGGTTCATAGTGTAAAATGAAGTTGCAGAAAGTCTTGTAGTTGCATTTTGCTCCTTTCTGTGTGCTGATCAATGGAAGAAAAAAGTAAAGGATCACAGTAGTGAAAATTTTCTCTCTCTTTCAGCAATAGTTTTCCTTTCCTTTGATAGTTTGAGATCCCTGAAAATGGAGCCTTTACCTGGCTTATCTGTGTTTACCTGATTTTGCTTGGGTTACTTTATGCTTAAGAGTAGTACATATGACCTCAGAGTCAGGATGTGGATTTTTCCTGGGTATCTGTTTGAGAGCTTTGAGCTGTTGCTGTCCAGAACAGAATGACTGTGCTTTGGTGGAGCTAGAAGACCAATGTGCACAAGATGGTATAACACTGAACAGCCTCACAAAAGGGTGTCTTTTTAGGATGCAGTTTTTTACTTGAGAGGCTGGTTTAGCACCAGTCTTTGGCAGCTGGTTGTTTTTCTCACCAGAGACATTTCTTTATCTCTGAAGAAAAGGAATCCCAGGAAAAAAGTGCTCAGAGAAAGAGTATGGGCACGCAGTTGCTAATTTAGCCAGCAGGGAAGGTTGCAGTTTTCTTTCTCATAGTTTTTCAGTTTCTGTCTGATAAATAATTACTTATGGTAGATGTGCCTTGGCCTGAGAGAAAACTCAGGATACTTGAGGTGTTGATACAAATGAACTCTGTGAGAGCACCTGCTGCATACTTTGTTAGCTGATGGTAAACGCGGTGAACTCCCAGCCATTCATTGCTAATGAGAATCCCCTTCTAAAACTCTGCCAGTGACAAGGGAGTGATTAAGACAGCTTAACTTCAGTGCATAGTTAGGAACATCTTGTCATTTTGTGTTCAGTTCTCCACAAAATCTTGTTTGCCTGTCTTTCCTAACATTTTGCCTTTTTCTTTCCTTCTCCTGTTCTAGCCATGTTTGCAGCATTGTCACTGTGTACAGCTCATTGATGGTGCAAAACACTCCAGCTGTTGGTCCTTTAGACTGACAAGCCTAAAGGATGCCAGTGTCCTGAAGACTGGCATTCACATGGTGGGAAGAGAGGATCAATGCAGCTGTGAATTTTCTTTCAAAATTAACAGCTGTAATAATGGTCATTTAAAATAAGTTAACCAAAAGTGAGGTACCAGCAAGGATGGAAGAGCTAAATAGAAATGGCAAAATTGAGCTGTATCAAAATGAAGCGGGTTAATACCAAACAAATGAATGTTTCTGGTCACTAAAGCTATCTTAAATAAATCTGAAATTCCCCATAACCTTTACATAGGCACTGGAAAAAGCAGCAGCATTCCATGGCTATCTGCCTCAGCTGTACCTGCTCAAGATCATTCCTAAGCAATTAGTAAAAGTCAGTTCAAAAGGCTTTGGTCAAGGATGGTGTTGAAGGAGGAGCACTACTTCTTGTTAAAATAGGTTGTCTGAATTACTGATAGATCAGTAACAGCTAGCCTGTGCACTTTAAGTTCAGTGAAGTATTCCAAAACAGGTCAAGAGGAACTCCTGTCTCAAGATGCTAAATAGGCTGGTCTTAAACATATTCTGAAAAATAGACCTTTTGACCAGCAATGTTATTTAGAATGAGGCTGTTTAGCTATCTGGAGAATATTTCACAAGTGATGTTCTAAAGTTCCATCTGTCTGATCTGCATATTCTTCCCAGGGCATGTTCACATATTCAGTATTTGCCAGCTAGTGGTGGGCATTAAAGAATGAATATAAGATTTGTGAGTATGAGGGTCAGCTCACACTCACAAATTTTTTTCTGCAGCTTTCTGTGTGTTACAGGTTCGGTTCTGTTAAAAATGACGTGGTGGGATAACAAGGAAGAAAGCTGGACCTAATGGCACTGGAGAAAGGGAGAATTTGTACCTTCCTCAAGCACTTGAACACATTCAGGATGAAAAAGAACTGTGAGGTGTTTTGAGATGGTGGTATTATCCACCAGGTCAAATCCAGTAGCTCAAAGATTGCATCGACTGACAGCAGCTAAACCAAACATGCAGTAAAATCAAGTTCCTCATTGTGGAAACTCACCATATATTCTTTCCATCATAAATACAGGAAGCAATTTTGTATATGTATTTTTCATTTCTATATGTTATGCTCTCTATATATTTTAGCTTTTATGTTTTTTTTTATATTTATTATGGTACTCAGCAGTAAAACTTTGAATGGTATTTTTGACACACAAAATTTAAAGAATATGTTGGATCATTCAGCTTCTAAATAAGAGGGTGTTTTCAATTCTTTGACCACAGTTTTTTATCACCTTTCTGTATTTGTGATCTGCTTCACACTTACAATTTTCTAGCAGTTGTAGATATTTATGATGTCTACATTTATGGTAACTGCTAAATGCTCTTGTATTAGTAGATCTGTTACCTCAGTTTTCCTTATGAGCTATTCAGTAATGATCATAAGGCAGGAAAGTATATCTAAATGGTATTGAAAAAGAAATTGGAGGTCTTCTCTTGGAAAAGAAGATAATAAATGTATCTTCTCTATGCAGAAGATAGTTCCCTTGTGTGTTTTCAGGGTGTCAATAACTCAGCCAAGAAGGAGAAGAATTCTGGTATTGAATTATAATAAAAGTAAAATGGGATTAAAGCAGACAGAGCTGAGCTCAGTTTTCTCATTTGTAAAATGTGAGCATTTCATATTGCAGCTTTATGCAGTACATTAATTGGAAAGATAATTAATGTTGAATTACAATAGAAAAGTTGTAAAAGCACAGGGTGCATATGGCATCTACAGTAACATCAAATAATTTTGATAGGCTGTTATAAAGGGTGCCAAATGGATTTATAATGAAGAGGGACACAAATGCAAAAATAGAAACAAAAGACAACAATCACAATCTTTTTATGACAACAGATGCCTGGACTGGACTTGTGTTCTAATGTGGTGTTTGTTTGTTTTGTTATGTTTTTTTGGTTAAAATCCAAACATTGATCTGAATTTTGTCTAAAGGACCTTTGGTGGGGATTAGGACCTTCTGTTTTGCTTGTAACACCCTGCAGAGCTTGGCTTGGCACTTTGACACTGGAAGTGTCAAGATGAGAGTGGTTAGTGATTACAGATGTTAATATTGTCAGGGTTGATGTGGAGGAGAGAAACAAAGAACAGCAGCATTCTGAGTGAGAGCACACTGCATCAGTGCTGTGTCTGAGCTCATTGCTAGAGCGCTCTGTAAAATGGCATTTATGTCCAGGTAGTTATGGTCTTACATACGATTGTCCTGTATTGCTATTGCACTTTGCAATACATGTCAATTTGATATATGAAGTATTAGGCAATAAAATATTTAGTTTGTATCTGAACTAAATGTTTTTCATATGAATATTTGGCTTCTGCAAAAACTTGATGGGCTTGAGGAAGACAGAAAATTAGTCATTGACTTTGCTCAAAATGTGAGGCAGTCAGGAACCATCTGGAAATGAAAGGGGGCTGGGAAGCTGGTATCTTGGGAGGCTTGTGTACTTGTGAATAATTTAAGTTTATTGACATATGCTTGTGGGGTCTCTAGTGAGCTCCCTGCTGTTTTATATTTTACAAGCCAGTGAAGCCATTTTCATTGCTAGAATATTCATTAGCATTGCCCCAGCAGGTAAATAACTCATAGTTGCATTATTGTGTATTTCTGATATATCCATAGGCAATGTATTTATATTCAGAGGAAAAAATGAAATACTGATCCTAGGCATTAGACATACATCCCAATAAATGTTAAAAAAAACCCCAAACCAGCAAACAACCAAAAATAGAACACTTATAATCTTCGTTCTCATTTATTTCTCACAGACAGCTCTTGGAACAACTTCTGCAGAGGTGATGAGACCTCGTGGGGGCTGGGCTTCCATGCACCTCCATCCCTGCAGCACCAGGTGTGTTCACAGGGCCCTTGCCACGCTGAGAGGAGGCTGCAGTGGGAAACCCCCTCTCCCCTTGCCTTGGGAGCAGTGGGAAAACTCCATGGCTGCCACAGCCCACTGCCTTGGGGCTTTCCTCCTGCAGGAGCTTTGTCTCTTGATCTGTCTGGTGCTGCATGTCTGGCTTTTAAAGGTGAGAGAAGTTGTTCTCCGTGTTGGAAAAATGCAGCTTGGGTCTTGGATCTGGGACTAACACAACAGGGAGTCAGTTCCCCTCCTAGTGACCGAGGGTGCCAGCCTGCCTGGGGTGAGCAATGGTCTCTTGGTGGTGAAAAGCACAGTAGGATCCCTGTTCTGTCTGATTCCCAAACTCCTAAGGGATTTTCTAGCAGTAAAGCCTGTGTTCTTGCCAGAGAGAAAAAAAACCATGGTGTGGGGGCATGTAGGGGAACAGGACCACATAAAAAACAAGAGGGTACAGAGGAAGATCAGCTTTGAAGGCTGTATTTGTTTGATGAGTCTGTTCCCCATATGGCTGGAGATCATCATTTGGAGCAGAAAGCCTCAGGAAAGCACCTGCACAATGGTGCCAGTGGGAAGTGTCTGTGCCCTCTGGAGTCTCAGCAGAGCAGCAAATGTGTCAGAGTGCTGGGGTTTGCTCAGGTCCTTGTTGTACACAAAGCAC